AACCACGAAACACGGCGGCCGCACGAACTCGCCTCAGGGTCCTGACTGGCCGCGTGGTTGAGGCCTCACCCACGCACCCCCAACCCGTGAGCCTCTCCAAACGCGCAGCCCAGGCCCCACCCGCCGGCTCCCCGACCTGCGCGCCCCCACCAACGCCCCCTTACCTGCCCGGCGGCCGCAGAGGAGGCGACGGCAGGCGACAGCCCAGTGCCCAGACCGCCTTCTTCCTCGAGAGCCGCTGCAGGAGCGCCCAACTTCCCCAGGCTCCGGGCAGTTCCGGCGTCTGTGCAGGCGCATCTGCGCGTGAGTCCGCGCCCCTCCTCCTCCCGCCAGAAGCGCGGACCCTGGGGCTGGGGGTCCTGCTGCTGGGAATGTGGCGAGTGGGTCCGAGTGGAACTGATCGGGGCCTGGCGGGCCAAGCGGGGACGGGCGGCAGGGTGGACTGAGATAAACAAAAAGGACAGAAGTACTGTTTTATTCCTAAGATGAGCAGGTATGAGGATGAGTGACCTACTCGGAGAAATTCAGTTCCACACACCAGCAAGGATGGAAAAGGAACAAAAGAAAAGCTACAGTCTTTTCAAAAATATTTTCTGGACTTTTCTATATTAAAATTTGCCATTATTTATTTTATTTATTTATTTTCTTTTATTTTGCACCACCTCATTCTTTCATCTGTAATGATTTAAGTAGCAAATTTCATGAGAAAACACTTGGCAAAGTCACTGAAAAACAAATCTGCCTTTACAAGATGACAAAATCCTCTAGAATAGCTTTTCTCAAAATGTGTTCCTCAGACAAATGGTCAGGAGGTACTCTCTGCCAAGGAGGGTTCTATGGCTAAGTAAGTTTAGGAAATACCATAAACTCATTCCATCCCACTTTGGAGATTTGCAGTATTTAGAGATTTAGTATAAACTGGGTAGTTTATACTAAACGTTCCAAGAAGTCAACCAGCAAAAATAAAAACTTATTTATTTTAATATAGCACTTTTACGTATTATCAGATCAGTGCTTCTCAAACTGTTGGTGGTGAAGGACTGATTGTCTTTCTAATTTCAAGCCCACTGTCATCTGATTTTTTGATAAAATGCAGTAAAATTGTTAGAGAAAATTAAATTTTCAAAATGAGGACATAAAAGATACAAGCCTGTTTTAAAAATTGTTAGATTCAACAGACATAAAGTTGCCCCCTTAAATTGGTAAACATTTCTAAAAGCTTGTTCTAATATGTTTACTGACTTTTATGTCACAAACCAGTAACAGCCTGTGACTGACACCCTGAGGAGCACTGTGTCCGAGCACAGACCCCTGTGTTCCGTAACACCCATAAACACCAGCAGAGCACTCTGGGAAATACTTAGACAGAATACAAAGACATAAAACACAGTCAAAATCTAATGCCGGACAAATGCCAATCCAATCCATCAATGCACTGTGACAATTTCTAACTGGAATTAAAATGAATTAAAGTAAAATACCAACACCTTGTTTCTTTTGGGTAATGCAGATAGGAAAATAGGAAATTTAAGAAACTCACTTCAGGGTCTCAAGTGACATCTGTAAATTGTAACTGCGTTCTTGTTCAGACAGCTTGGAGAACTCCACCAGACACGGGTGCTGTTCCTTATTGTCATCTCTAACCTTTAAAACAGGACAAGAAATCAGCACTTAAGAGCTTCCAAGGTCAGACACCAGTAGTGGTGATCCAGCCGCACGGAGGAAAGCGAAGGGACACCCAGACCATCAGCCCAGCAGAGCTGTGTCTAATCTCCCACACAGCTTGTGCTTGAGGTGGTGCTGAGACCTGGGGTGACCCGGGCTCCCTGCTGTCTTCCAGGATCCGCAAGGCTCCGGCCCCAGCCTCCGGGACGGCCCCACCTGAACCCCACACGCTCGCTCACTCAGCAACTCCCCTCTCTCAGCAACTCCTGGCAATGGCTTAAACCTTACTTTCTCAACGAGGCTCATCCTGCCCACCTGCCCAATGTGGCAACACAGAATGTAAGACCAAGGGGGACAGGGACTGGCTTCTTCTGCTCTTTGATGATGTGCCCCCAGCACCTGGAACACACCTGGCACGTGGCAGCCGCACGACCAATGCTTTGTAAACTGAAATGAATTCTAGGTAAGAAGGTGTTAGAATGACTTAGTTTTGACATAATAGTAATTTATACGTGTTTAGAGCCAAACACACTGGGGACCTCAACTGGCATCAGAACAGACTGGCAGAAACTCTTTGAGGTGGTTTCAGCTGTTCATCTCACCCGCTGCAAGACTTCCTGCTCTTACAAATCACTCCACTGCCTTAGCAAAGTCAGTTAACATGAGACAGGCATTTTTTCATATTCGTCCTTGAAAATGTGCTTCAGTGACCAGAATATACTGAATTCAAGATTTTTAGGAATGAATTAATGAGAAAGATGCTCCACATCCCTGCACTAGTGCTTAGCTTTCTACCTTCTTGGAGACCTGAAGTGCACTGGCACTGCTGCCACACTGGCACCTGGAAGGCAGTCACACGCTGTCAGAGGACAAATCACGCCATGGGGATAATTACCAGGTTTTATAAATGCCACAAGAAAAGTATGCAAACACTCGCAAGGGTTTTTTTTTAGAGTCTTCAGGAGTCGCCAAGTTAAAAACAAGGTATCTATTTTTCTCTTTTTGGTGATGGTTACAAACGAACAGGATTTACACAAAAGCTTACAGTTCTTTTTTCCTTATTTGAGTGCCTAACTTTGGAAATGAGATCCAGAGTTATGAAATTTAACCCTGATTCTAAACATAAAAAAGTAGACATGACTGGGTCCAAGCCCTGAGGTCAATCACTCTGCATTCATGTAACTGTCCCTCCCCCCGTATTCTCTAAACCCAAGAGTAACTGACACCGCACCCTCCAGCGTGGGTGTCCAAGCTAAAGCCAGAAATCTGTCCGGGTTTCCTTCCCTCTCTCACCAAATCCCATACTTGAGCTTCAAGCCATCTCCTGCAGTCCCGTCTCTCCATCCCCACGGTCGGCACACCGTGGGAGAACTCACCTGGGCCACCTGAGTCCTGTCCCTGACCCTTTTTCTGTCCCCAGGTTCGCTGCACTTCCACACTAACCGCAGAGCTCAGATCAAATATTTACCACCTCCTGGAAGCCTCTGATTTTACCAGGACAGAGATAAACATTCCTCCTTCACTGTCAGCATCTTAACACCCTCGAGGCACGTAAAGCCCGATGTTGCTTTAACCTCAGCCTCGGAGCAGGTGAAGGATAACCGGCAGCAACCGTGGGAAGGACGGCTCTGAGGCACCGCACTCGCAGTGTCTGGAAACTCAAGGGTGCTTTGAACACAGCAGGTCTGGTAATGAGATGAACTGAATTTTAAAGTAAGTTAATCATACAGAAAATTGAAATAGTTTATTCGAAGGACAGGAAGAAACCCACTTGCATGTGAAATAAAATGATCTTGAAATAATTCAGATAGTTTTTCTATCCTGAGTGCTGTTCTCAACAGAAGCAGAACGATATAAAAATGTGTACTTCACACTTACATCTGCAGGGCTTGAGGGTAGACTGATGACTCAGTCATCACAGTATTTATTCTCCTGTGAGTAAGTGAAGGGGTTCAGAGTGTGCCACCCCAAAATACGCCACTTTGGCATAAGGATTATTTTGGGCTGAAGGCAACTAAGAAAAGCAAACACAAGAAAAATTCTCTACCCTTCTCTGCCCTGCCAGGAAGGATGGAAGGATGACTGAGACCACACCAGGGTCTCACCAGCCCAGACCTGCACAGAGCAATCTACGTGAACTGGCCCTTCTTGTCCACTGGTTTCCCAAAGTACTTACCGTCCCACAATTTGCTGCCCCAAGAAGCTCAAAATTCCTCTCCTTTGTCTTATCACTTCTCCACAAATTTACTGTTCTTTGTGTTAAAAGGCTGTAAAAAACTAAGTTCTAACCACCTCTTTGAGTTAGTCATTACTGAGCACTCCCATGGAGACACACAGTGTACACTTTAATAATCTTGTTTTTCATTTGTTCATCTGTCTTTTGTCAGTCTAACTTGCGAGCCCCAACCAATGAACCTCAGGTGAGTAGAGGAAAAAGAGCCCCTACTCCTACGTGAGCAGAAGAGCAGGTCCTCACTCTCAGGGATAACATCATCACAGACACTGGAGTCATCACCGTCATTACTTTTAATATTTAACTGAAGATGTAATCAATCAATAAAGAAAAGCTCATGAAAATTTATCTTTAAAGCAAATCAAAAATTCATTCTAGAAATTTGTAAGATGCTGTCTAAATTCGAAATTATGCTTTTGTTATCGTTGCTAGATCAAGGTTGTCAAATGAGGCAACGCACATGAAAGGAATGCTATCAAGAGCTGACCAATTAAATTAACTTACTTCACACAGGGAATGTGTGGCCCAAAGAATATTTTGAGGTCCCCATGGACACTGTCTTTCTAGTGGAACTTTCATAAGACGAACTCACATGCAGAAACTTACTATATGTGAAAGGAGAAAGGAGGGCTGCCCAGGCAGAGAGCCTGCAGCTCAGCTCCTCAGGTGGCCCTGCCCCTCGGCAGCCTCCATCCCCAACCAAAGCTCCTGGCGGACCCTGAGGCACTTCCCAGGAGCCCCAAGGAGCCAGCTTCAACAGTTTGGAAACGTGCTTTCCAAAGTCTGTATTAATTTAGACACTTTGAGCATCTGTTTTTCCTAACTAGCAGAAAGCAAATGACAGTGTGGCAAATGATCAGAGTGAAGACTGAGCAGACAGTAAAAGAAAACATCCTTTGCCAAGGGAGCAAAGACTTTCATCTTTTAAAATTAATACTTAGTGAGTGAGAAATAAAAATAATTGCAGGATTTCTCCATGGTCTGGTCCACTTGTTCCCTTGTAGAGTAGAACACCAGCTCATCTGCATCTCAAAACGCAGATGTCAAATACAGTCTTCCCACCAAGAAGCTGTTTCTCCAAGACAACGAAAGAAAAGAGACGAGTGTTGGCAGAAACTCACCTCTTCCTGGAAGAGATCCTGCTGGTTCTTCAGAGTTCGTAATCTGTTCCGTTTGTCTCATGCTCTAAGTGCTCCTCTGGTGGGTGGAAATAACCGATCAGGTCCTGCAGACTTAAGACTCACGGGCTGTATAGGGAAGTCTACTGTGGAAGCCGTCACTTTTTTGCTGAGAGTATCAAGGCCCCTAAAATAAATAACAAGCATTTCTCTACATCAGTGATTCCCAATTTTGTTTTATTACTTTTTAGTCTGGAGATGATTTAAAGCTCTACTCACTCTCCTGAGACTCCTACAAAAGGAACATACAAGAAAGGCCCTCAAATAACAGTAATAAATATACTCACATGAAAAGCATTACAGTCTATCAAGTACACAGAACACTATACATTAAAAGCACCAGTATCAACAGAAACTCGTCTGAAAGAACACCCAAAGGGCCTGGAGAACCAATGTCTGCAAAGCCAGTGGTCTAAATATGTAAAAACCAATTCATTTTCATTTTGAAGCACTCCATCCTTCAAGACTTAAGATGTAACTTTTCAGGTTCATAATTCTGACATTTACTTGTTCTGTTTTGTTTTGGAAGTAGTAACTGTTTATGGCTATGCAATCACTGACACTCACTGTCATCCTGTCTGGCTCCTGTCACTTAAAAAAAATTCTAATACTGATAATTTATAAAATTCATTTATTAATCAGGAAACAATATATTAACAGGCTTTTCTATCACCTGAAAGAAATACTTAGAAGGTAGGCTAAGAAACAGCAGCAAGTTGCATTCTCTAGCTTTGAAGGAAAACATACCACTGGCACATAAATGCACCAATCTGCTGAGCTTTCTGAGATTCTGAATTCTAAAACTGACAGCTTTGTGTGTATTTGGGAAGAATCTTATAGTGTTTGTAAATCAAAGTTAATCCAAAATAAAAAGCTTATTTAAAAAAACTCACAATAGATACAAGAAAAGAATGGGAGAATGCCTGTAGTATAGTTGATATACTAATATTCAGATTAGTCACAACAAAATTTAATGCATAAAAATACTATACTTCCTTTCCCACCCTCTGCATCAGCCAAACTGTATGGCAATATCTTCTTCAACGAAATGTTTCTAGCGAATTAGCTGACTATACTATAATTTACATTTTAAAAATAATAAAAATCTTACAAATGAAAAATCAGCTTACCTTTGAACTTTTATGTTGCTCAAAAATATTTTTAAATGTATCATCATTTACATAAAATTACTAACAATTCTGGAATATTTGACTTCAGCCTTATTAACACTTGAAATAGTAAAATTGCGTGACTATCCTAAAGTTTCTGCATAAAATTCCAAATCAATTATATCGCTAAAATTCATCAATTACCTAATTTTATCATCTCTATAAGTCTTTCTGTACCCGAAAAGCAACAGAAATGACTTGTCAGTAGGAGATTATTTCTCCATAACAAAGTCAAATACAATTCTCATCACACTAGAGGGAATAAAATTTTTAAAAATTCAAATATAATATCCACATTTTCAAACCTAAAGGAAAACAAGTGAATGCCAGTTTTTAGGTTACTAAATTGAACATGTATGATATCAGAAATGTAACCATTCAATTGCTTTCTAGGAAAAGCCTTTTTCTGCCAGAAAAAAAATGCTATCCAAGACTGTAAAATTGCTAATGATGCCAAGTTTTAGAACTTCTATCCAATATAGAGATTTTTTTTTAACCTTAATTTATCAAGGACAAAAAAAATGAAGGAAAAAATTGGGGGAAACCAATGGTAGTAGTATTACACTATGTTACAGAAAAAGTAAAAGATTTTTTTAAAATATACAATGAAAACACCAAGGAAAAAAAAAGAGAAGTGCTATATTAACATCATACAAAGTTGATGTCATAGCCAATATCACCAGGAATTTTGAAAAGGTAATTTCATAATAATTATCAAGGGATCAGTTCATTAAAAGGATATAATCCTAAACTTTTATAAACCTAATGACAGAGCTTCAAAATATACAAAGAAAAAATGACAGAACTGCCAAGGAGAAACAGAAAAACCCAGTTATAGTCTGCAATACCCTTCTCTCCATAGTTAACAGAACATACAGACCAAAAGTCAGTAAGGGAACAGAAGATCGAAACAGCACCATCAGCCGACTAAATCAAACTGACGTTTTTAGCACTCCACCCAATAAAAGGAGAATGGGCGCTCAGAATACTCACTTTCCAGTGCACCCAGAACAGTTAGCCACGTAGAACATATTCTGGGAGAGCAACTGGCAGAAAACATAGGGAAAAAGTCTGAGAGGACTGGTAGTTGGGTTGATTATTAAGGCTTTGCTTATGAAAGTAACACAAGAGGGACCGGCGCTTACACTGAGTTATTACCCTGCTCCTGATTCAGTGATGGAGCGAGGGATGCAATCTGTTCCGGTTGACTCAGAGCAGCCATGCCTGCCTCTGCATACAACCTGCACACATCCTCCCATAGACCTCAAGTTATCTCTAAAGTACTTAACAATCTGCAATACAATGTAAATACTATAAACAAGTGTAAATACAATGCAAATGCTATGTAAATAGCTGCCAGCACGCAGCAAATTCAAGTTTTGCTTTTTGGAACTTTCTAAAATTTGATTTTTACTAGTATCTTTGACCCATGGTTGGCTGAACCCATGGATGCAAAACCCTGGGATACAGAGAGCTAACTGTAGTTAAATGCGGGTTATATAGCTATTCTGCTTTATCAAGATGAGTATATAAATGGATTTCATTCAAATAACCCAAGTAAAAACTGAATTTCAATACAAAGCAGCAAATATATTATTCAGTAAGTACTTCTGCCACAGAATCTAAATTTCTCATGTTTGGTTCTCTCTCTAATCAGTTAAGCAAGTGTTAGCTTCTAAAATTAACCTTCCAAATCACAGACCCTGGTTTTTTTTAAAAAATGAGTAGTCTTGAGCAAACAGCAAATGTAGTAAAGCAAATCACATCCAAGATGAACTGTCGTAATCTCACTCAACATACAGAATGTCACTTAAGCCAAGCCATCACTACATTAAGTCTGAACTGATATAGTATCTTTCTGACAAAACACGTTTGAAAACAAATAATCTGGTTTTTCTCTGGTATTAAGTTAGCTATTGCCTGCCAAATGGAAAAGCACTTCTGAAAGCACTACAGAAGTCACACTAATAAAGACCTGTCTTTTTGCATTGGAACAAGTCAGGCTGATGGATATAACGACATGGGAAATTGACTATTTTAAATATTTATGATGATTATTTCCTCAAGCTTTATAGAACTGGCTGGGCTGTAGTAAAGAAGAACTATGGAAAGAACAAGATGGAAAAAATCTAAGCTGAACTCATTTGAAAGTAAGTTACAATTTCAAAGTTGAAAATTTATTTATTACAAGCAGTCAGTCCTATATCAAATGATAAAAATCTGACTCTTATCCCATCTCTAAGCTTTCCGCCATCTGAAAAGATTGGAGTTTAGATGAGGCAGAGAAATATGATAAATACTAAGGATATGATGAAGCTGAATGCTGTGCACATTATTTGCACAAATGTACACAGTGGGATGACGTACAAAAGTAGAGATTAAGTGAATATGTAATCTTGGTGGTGAAGCCCTTTCATAAGCTTTAAAACATAATTTATTGAGTAAACTACAATGAAAAGAACTTGAAATATTTTTCAAACCAATAAACTGGGAGAATATTTAAAATTTATAAATGATTACAGGAAATTAATATCTCTAATGTAACAAAAGCTCGTAACAGCCTAATAGAAAAATTAACAAATAATAGGGTAAATCATAAAAATAAATGAAGGTATCTGGTCAACAAACATGAAATATACCCATTTTCACAATTTTCACATAAATGCAAATTTTCAAAAATAATTATAATTACAGATAAATATATACATAGTATAAATATATACATGTACGTCAATTTTTTCCCATCAAATTGGCAAGTTTACAGAGAGAGATGATACCCATCACAAATCAGAGCGCTTACTGGTACACTGTTACCAGAAAACACTTTGAAAGTCTAGATCCACTTCCCTCTCTGGTTTCCTGTGATCCAAATTTATCTGAACAGCTGTCTATAATGGTTTAATTTCTATTCTGCTAGTCTCTTGTAATTCTACTCTAATCAGAATACTGTTTACCAATTCACTGAAACTTACCTTGACCTAATTAACAGACTTCCATATTAAACAAGTGCTCATCAATTTTGAGTTCTTATTTTGAGTGTAAATCTGATATTGCTGATCAAAAATAAAAAAAGAAAAGAAAACACTTTGGACACAAGTTTAACTTGGTTTTGTAGATATGCAATTGCTTCCATTATTAGGTGGGAAAATGGGAAACCTTATCACAAAAATCACTTTAATTTTTGAATACAGTTCAAACCCACAAGGCATCCAGGCTGTGCTGCCCCAGGGTGAAAGGCCCAGCACCAGGGTATGTTGCAGAATAACCCTGACACAAGTTACGTATACAATATCCGAAACCATGGTCCTTTTTAAACAGTTATTTTAAAAGAAAGACATAAAATTATCTAACTAGCATTTTCTAATGTGTTCTGCAGAATTACCAAATGGTATGAAATTTACCACCATGGTGTATTTTAGGCTTGTTTATTTTTAAATCTGATAAGGAAAATTATATATGGAAATAAAATGTCCACCAGCCACAACAACAAAGGACTGCGTACCTAATAAATCTATTAAAGAGAAAGACTGTGCTTCAGGTGACACGTGCCGTCCGTGATTCTTCGTGCTAAGATATGGATAAATTCAGGCCGTCGTCCATGTGACCTTCGCGGTGCATAATAGCCTGTACGAAAGCAGAAATGCCATTACCCCTAAAATCTCCTTTTTAAATGCGTGTTTTTAAAGATGCCTCTCAAAAAGGTGAGCTGGGACAGTAAACAGAATCAAAAGGCAGGTGGAGGGGGCTGTAGGCTGTCGTGTTCAGGTAAAATAATACGCACAGGTCCCCGTACAAATCAGTCATGCAATGTATTTATTCAGCTACTGATTTAAAGATGAATCCATTGTTGTTTTAAGGAAGAAATCAATACATGTACTGATTTGAGAAAAACAGACGCCAGAGTGTTTTCGCATACCTGTGTTCAAATGACTCATCCACTTTCTAAGCAAACTTTGAACAAAGCAGCAATGGGAAACATTACATGGGATGACAGTTACACAGAAGTTTTGAACTTAGGTGGGTAAATTAGTAACACTAAGTAACGCTCCTAAGGCATCTCAGTTCTTGTAAAAGTATTTATTTTATTCTTTTGTTAGGCTTTATGTTTTGAACAATCTATGAAATTATAACATGGAGAAATAAGTGCAAACTCTTAAGAGCTGAGTGAAACTCACAAAGTGAACAAACCATGCAGCCAATACCCAGACCTAGACAGAGAACATCACAGCACCTTACACTCCCTTCCTGCCCCTGCTCTCCACAACGTCCCCCACCCTCCATGGCTTTCAAGCACGAAGGTCGGTCGTGCACTATACACAAAAAGAACCATTTGTGTCTGCCTTCCCTCACTCAACACCAACAGCAGACATTTTTAGAACACTTAATCAGGAATACCAAACTCAAATTAGTAACTAGAACCAAAATTATAAACTATCTAGAAAGCAATGTAAGAGAAACTCCTTACACCAAAATCAACACAGAGAGTATTCACAGTCAAATTTACAGCCTTAAATGCCTTCATTGAGAAAGGAAAAATGATTAAAATGAAGGAATGTATTACTCATTTAAGGACTCTAAGAAAGAAAAACAAAGTTGAAAGGGGGGATTAATGAAGATAAAATGAGAATTTAATGAACAAGAAATCAAAGAAAATACTAGAAAGGATGAATAAATACAAGGTGTTTATTTTTGAAAAGACAAATAAAATAGGTAAACCTGTCACATAACAAGCTAAAGATAAAATGGAACAGACAAAAAAACAACACAGAGAACAGAATATAAGACACAAAAGACATTAAAATTGTAAACTTATAGCAACGCAGTGCTGCACGGAACTTAATGGCCGAAAAATTTTAAAAGATTTTAAGAACACAACTGATTATCCTAGAAGACAAGGATGGCTTCCTAGCAAATCAAGAATCATCAAACAGAATTGCCCCAACTAAGTAGAAAATTTGATGACATCAGTTTATTCAAAAGAGATTAGAAAGGAAATTTAAGATCCAGTATTTCAAAGACTGCAGGACAAGATGGTTTCACAAGTGAGCTCTAATGAACCTTCAAAGAACAGACACTTTTAATGGCAGGCTGCTTCAGTGAACTAGGACTACAGGGTCTTTTTGTACTGACTATAAGCTACAAGTAGTCTCTACATTTCTTAATGGTTAAAAAAGCCAAAAATAGAGTATTTCATGAAACCTGAGAATTGTATGAAATTCAAATTCTGGTGTCCATAAAGAAAGGAAAATTATTATATAAACTTTATATATAAATGAATATACATGATAATCCTAGATGAGTTCTAAATAAAATACAAATAGAATCTAACAAGATTTGACAAGAATAATAAACTATAGCCAAACAAGGTCTGGTTTATGAATTTAAGGATTTGTCAATATCATGATGTCGAGTAACTTATTTATCAACAAATTAAAGGACACTAAAACAGGATTTTTAGTGCTCTTTGATAAAATCCAGCAATCACTGCTAATTTTTTAAAAGTCAGATAAAATAGAAAAAGCAGAACGTTGTTTAAATATATAATCTATTTCACTTGGCCACGAGGTGTAAGAAGGCGTAAATTCTGTGAAAGAGGGGTGAAAATTTCCAGGGAGGAAACAGACGGGGAAGAACAGCCAGAACAGATGAAGAGACAGCAAGCTGAGGTAAAAAGTGACCTGAGTGAGATCATGAAAAATACAAGGAAACTAGCACTTCAGAGAGGCACAGAGAGCACCTCAGGAACAGAATGCATCAAAGAAAACAAAATGAGCAATTTGGAGGGCACATCTGAGAAGCAAATTGTAGAGGACCGGTGGGAATGACAGGACTCCTGCAAGGGAAGGTGCTGACGTGCAGGAGAGGAACCAGCCGCCTTCCTGAGAAAGAAACCACAACTGAAAGGGAGAAAAGCCAGAGGGAGGGCTGAGCAATTCTCCTCTCAGCTTTAAAAGACCTATTGCGCTACTTAAAAAGCCTTGGTGACATAATTATGATATTATGCATTTCATAATTCAGAGCTAATTTTTTAAAAGGTAATGCAGTGTATAAACTGCATGTGTGCAACACCCAGCAGGGTCTGTGCATCACTGCACAATCAGTACATTTATATTTCTGCATCAAAGCATGACTATCACACTAGGTGGGATACAGAAAAGCTATGAAAAGTGACTCAGACATTTTTTAATTAGCCAAGTGTTTGTTCATAGGAAATAACAACAGAAAGTCAGTTTTAAATATGCAAAGATTTGGCGGACCCATCACTAATATGCTTTTCTCATAAAATAAAATGATTTGAAGACACTAGCCAACTGGGAAGCACATAGAAATTAGGAGCTCTAGACTGGGAAGGCCTCATCTATCACGACCATACTGAATCTAATCTCTCGATAAAGACTCAGTACAGTAGATGGTTCTAGAAGGAGTAATAAATTTACAGTAGAGATTGTATTAGGTTGGCCCTTCTATGGCCCATGAAGTCTGCTTCACATGTAACTTTACTGGTGTAAACAAGACTGGTCTGTGTCTCAACACCCCATCAGACTCTTCCACAAGGCAAGCTCTTTGTTAGCCTATGATGTAGAAGATAAGCCCCATTTTGGCTGTAATCCTGGTTAAGGAATAAGAGAGGGGAGTAACAATAAAGAACGTCGGCATTACCGCAGTGGACTGAAGCAGGAGGGGCTGGAGATGAGGTGAGATGAGTCAGCTGGTTTGTCCTGCATGGTAAGGAGACTGGAATTACGACAGGAATAAGGCTCAGCCTCGAAGGGTTCTAAGCATGGTGTCACCCAGTCAGAGTGAACTGGAGGCAGGTCAGACTGAGGGCACAGAGATGGTTAGGAGGCAATGGAAACAGTGCACACCAGGCATGGTAAAGATGGAACTAGATTCTTAAGGGTGGAGCAGAGGGGACTGGGATGAGGTACACTTAGAAGATGAAATTGCCAGGGCTTGGTGCTTTATTGAACTCAGCAGAATAAGGTGAGGAAATTGTGGAAACTCTTGGGATTTATTTCCCATAAAACATATTTAAATGACATAGGTACAGTTCGGTTTACAATGTTCATGTAAAGTTTAAATTTATAATGAGAATTATGTCATGAAGTATATAGTTTAAAAATTCATTCAAGGGGTACATGCACAAAAAAAAGGTTGAAAGAACTGTTTAAGCCTCTTTTTTTTTTTGCATTTTCCACTGAATCATAGAATAGGGAAATAACACCTAAAGAGTTTCTAGCCATTTTCTGATTGAAATTTAATTCTATTTCTTCAAAAATATATGTCTACATGTTATTATTTTTACCTATACTTTTCCTATAAACATATGCCATGTTAAACTTTCAATAACGGTGCTAAGGAATTATTTACAATAGCCAATACATGGAGACAGCCTAAATGTCCAACAGATGACTGGATGAAGAAGATGTGGTATATTTATACAATGGAATACTACTCAGCCATAAAAACCGACAACATAATGCTAGTTGCAGCAACATGGATGCTCCTGGAAAATGTCATTCTAAGTGAAGTAAGCCAGAAAGAGAAAGAGAAATACCATACGAGATCGTTCATATGTGGAATCTAAAAAAAAAAAAAAAAAAAAAAAAAAGCATAAATACAAAACAGAAACAGACTCACAGAAATAGAATATAAACTTGTGGTTGCCAAGGGGGGCAGGGGGTGGGAAAGGATAGACTGGGATTTCAAAATGTAGAATAGATAAACAAGATTATACTGTATAGCACAGGGGAATACATACAAGATCTTATGATAGCTCAGAGAGAAAAATGCGACAATGAATATATATATGTTCATGTATAACAGAAAAATTGTGCTCTACACTGGAATTGACACAACATTGTAAAATGATTATAAACCAACAACAAACGGTAAAAAAAAAAATGGTGCTAAGGAAAAAGCGATGTTAGACAACAGCCCTTACAATGTAGTATCTTAGTTAAGAACTTTGTTTCCTCTCTCTGTTCTTCATGATTTGTGAAATCATACTTTGAACTTCTAACCTTGTGGTAAATATTAAGGTTTAACAACCCAGAATGCAAAATGGCAAATCTGATAAAATCACTCCCTATAAAATAAAAAAGCCCAACAGTGAAACTCACCTCTAGAACACGACAAGCAAGGACAGGGCTTATCCCCGAGAGCGGCAGCGGTGGGAGGGAAGCACCAGGCGGTCAGGGATGGGAGGTGAGGAAGTTGTTTTAAAACATGTAGCTTTGAATTTTCCAGAACTAACATTAATGTGTTTTGAAAAGGTAAAATTAATTTTAATACTTGTTTGACTTAATTCACTGTATGGAAAATATTATTGTTTCAACATGTAATAAATATACAAACTTGTAAATGAGATATTTTACTTTGTTTTATTCCATGTCTTCATAATCCAGTGTGTATTTTATGCTTCTAGAATAACTTGATTTGAATACTAAGTTACTAGTGAAAATACCTTTTTTCAGAATTCATGACATTTATAGTTGGGAAAGTACATTCACATATTCAAGTTATTCCAAACATGCATACAAGCTTTCTAATAACTTAAGTATAAGCTTTTAAATTAAAGTAAAGTTAGGCAAAACTAAAAATTCAGTTCTTATACTGCTAGCCACATTCAAGCACCAAACAGCCACATGTGAATTTGTTTTTTCCTCCCCCTTACCCTGAAAAAAGGAAAGAGCAGGAGAGCACTGAAAATGTTGAAGGTGACTGATGAACACACAGGGTCTAACTGCACTATTTCTCCCCATAATAAACAGTTAAAACCTGCTAGGCTCAGCTGCAGGAAACAGTGAATGACGTACAAATACCGAACACAAACAAATACATTCAAACAGATGGGCCTGGATCAAAGACCCCGAACACAAGTGATCATCTCATTGTGAAAATGATCCGGGTCTGGCTCTCCGTCCACAGCTCTGAGGAAGGTGGTACAGGGGCGCATCTAAGACCACAGCTCCATCCAAACAGAGCCAGCCCCCGACGTCGCTAAAAGCAGCACTGTCACCGTGAAGAGATCACAGTGACTCTGAGCAAACCTTACTGGAACATGCGTGTTACGATGAGCAAGTCTACCGAGAATAAAGAGACCCGAGGTCTCATGTTCATAGAAATAGTATTTGTCCTGTTATTAGATTCTGTGCTCTGTGTTATGTGGCGATATAAAAACGTGAAATCTGAAGTCTGTTGTATTACTGTACTCACCCTAAGGAAGCTCACAAATGAGAGACAGTGAGAGAGGCACGTAGCCTAGCAGATAAAACAGCAGACAGCGCACATAAAATTTAGTAAGTTATACACAATATTGTGAAAACACAAAGGAGGGTGTGCAGGATGAGCTTAGACAGTCAGGAAGACCTTCTAAGACCAACTTTTAATCTCTGGAGGATGGATAGGAAACGGGTGGAGAAAAAAAAAGTTTTAAAGGGCATCCCAAGCAGAGGAAACTATTTGCAAGGGCACAGACAAGTGAAGGCCGTGCTTCTCTGAGGGGCCATAAGGACTGCGCTGAGTGAGTGGCAGTGTGGGGACACTACGGAGGGCGCCCAGAGCCTGCGCAGACAAGAGGAAGGGGCCGAGGCAGGTCGGGAAGGGCATCCTGCACTCCCAAGACGTGCAGCTGCTGTCTTGTAAGCAGTGGGGTGTGTAGATGAAGGATGCAGAGGGGACGGGATGAGAACTTCTGCATTTCAGAAGCATAATGCCAGCAGCACCTGGAGGACCAGGGGAATGCGGCAGACTAAGCTAGAACCCGGGAAGGAGTAGCACATTTCTTCACTTAACATTTAAACCACTGATGTAACATCCAGCCCAGTTCACTGCACAAACCTGAGTCGATGAGGGTGGAATGGAACCTTTAGCATGTAAACGATGACAGCAGGTGGCTGAAGGGCTGGCCACCTCTGGTTGTCACGCTGGGTTCTTCAGTCATACAAAATGACCACCACACAGGACTCTGACAGCCTCTTACCTTATGCTGTACGGATCCCATCTTCACAGATTTCACGTCCGCAGACTGGGAGGTGAGCCACAGGCCGCTGTTTATGTGCTGTATGTAGCGCACTGAGTCCCCGTACTTTATTTCTGACGTCCCCATGCCATCAATTTCTTTCCTCACCCCTACATCCAATTTTTCCTGAGAGACAAACAATAAAAAAGATAAGCAAAAGCTAAAAAAAAATGAGTTTATAACATCAAGAGAACCTTGCTGTAAATGTGTTCCATGAAAAATGCAACCCTCTGACGGCCTCAGAAATAATGATGGTCAAAATCTCCTCTCCTAGCAGCTCGGTCTCCACCGGAACCAAAGCAGGAGACTGCAAAAATACATCTCACAGTCCCGAATTATTCACACTGCTAGAAATTTATTTTGGCCTCAACACAAAATTTTACATTGCTTCATGGCAAACCCTAAACCAAAGAGCTTAAAATTGGTAGTTGAGGCTTCATATTCTTTCCAGATTATTATTTTTATTATTGATGACTAAGAGCAAAAGTATGGGGACAGAAAATCCAATTTTGAGTCCAATCTCTGCCCCTTATCACCTCTGTGACCTTAGGACAAGTTAAATAAACCTTTTTAAGCCTCAGTTTTCTCATCTGTAAATAAAGCTAACAAAAGAATCTCCCAGCTAGTATCAGAAAAAATGACTAATGGATGAGAAGTTTTCAGCAAAGTCCCTGGGCTAAAATAAATCCTTCAATGAATTTTAATGATTTTGACCATGAAAACAGTGTTGATGATGGTGATGACGATCTCCTTCTTCATAAGGGTGTCGGGGATGATGATGATTTCTTTTGAACTGATCAAAGCTACGGTTCAGTTCCCACCAGTACGGTTTCTAACCTGGAGCACAGGGGCGTTCCCTCCTAGAGGGCTGCTGCGCTGAGCTCCCTGTGCTATGAGGGAACAATCGCGCCTCTGATACCAGCTAAATGTTTCCCTTAAATCCCTATTTATTTTAACGCTCCCACCTTCAACATGCTCCCTTTCCATTCTCCCTCCCAGGCTTCATTCTGATCTTCAAGAACTTTGTATGTCTTAAAGTTCTCTATAGTTCTTAAAATAACAGCAACAAACAAACAAACAAAAACCAAAAAAAAAAAACTAATGTTCTACTGGTTGCAATACCTCCCTCTGTGGCTTCTTACTCTTCCTCTTGCTCTAACGTTCCTTGTTCAACTGACTAAGTTTCCTCTGTGTCTTTGGCTACTTGACTGTTGTATGAAATTAGTAATAGTTACACAACTGTTTTCGAAGATTAGGCTGGAGTAATCTTCCCATTCCTGTCACCACACAGCATGACGAAGGGGAAAAAGTTATGTTTTCAGAAAGATGCATTAACAGAATCTGAAAATAAATTATACCATTATGTACCGGGCCATACTGCCAGCCGAGTTCAATTTTATTCATGACCCAGAGTTCCTGCACATTCTCCACCAGTTTTCTTCTTATCCTCTCTAGATGGGGAGGCAACACGATCTAAAATTTAAAAAAGAGAGAGAAAGAAAACACATCAGAAACAAATGCAACAAAACAGGATGCTAATTGTCCTCACTGTGAATTGAACGAGACAAAACCATCTGATCAACCATTAAAATGTAATTGTGTAACTAGGCTCCAACCCATCTATTCTCAACTTGGACAGCTGGGTACAGAAACATTTGTTAGGTAAATTTGAGGCATTTACAAGCAAAAGTCAGA